TTGGATGTCTTTATTATCATTAGATGAACAATATTAAAAATTAAAAAATGATTTTAAGTTTATAAAGGCTAAGATATTGAAATTCACAAAATAAATGGTCTAGATTCGTTTTTGGAAGGGGACTCATTTTGACCATAGGGTTCAATTTGAAACTTTTTTTTTGGGGGATTGATTCTTGAGATGAAGAGAGAGTGTGTGTAAATTTTGAGATCATACAAATACTACAAACATAATTTCTAGAAGTGTCATTGCATTGTACTATGATACAACAATTATATTGGGTCATTGCTCATTACAAATATGATAGGAGTATATGGTTCTCTGAGGTTCATTTTCATTTGGGACATGGATATTAATTGCTATGGACTTTTACACTTCGAAAAGTCCAAAAAAAATAAAAGACTCAATATTTTCTTGGAATTTAAATTTGTGAGGGTCAGCGCCGGAGTGTAGTGACATGGATCACTTCTTTTCAACATCGCCCACAAACTCAAATTTCAATCGAAAGTTGACAAACAATGTTGGTCCTAAAAATTTAAGTGTCATTTTCATATGAAATTTAATTACTTAAAATGATCAAATGGTTGAATTTTCGAGTGACTAAAAAATCAGAATCGGGCTGTGTTTCTATAAGTATCCGGTTCTGGTTCCTCCGGTCTGCCTCGGGTGCAAAACTTAGATAGGGCTCTATTTAACACAAAAAAAGGTTAAAAAATAATCGAAAATTGGGTGATTCGGGCTACGCCATCGGTTTTCAGCCCGGAGCTGCTTTCCGTGGTGATACGGGTAGATTCCTTTGGTCCGAGTGAGGTTGGAGATTTTTGAATAAATGAAATTTAAGAACCTTTTGAGTAGTTTCTAGTTTTGGGGCTGTTCTTATCAAATCTTTTGTAAGCTACCCAGCAAAGAAGAACATAAATGATTATTTTGGTTATCTAATAGCCTAGAATTTGAGTTTTTCCTTTTTTTGTTGTTATTTCCTTTTGAATATTAACTTGAAAATCTTCAACGAAAAGAAAATATCTTCTTCATTTTTTATGTATTGCCTAAGTCTGTTCAAATTTTTTATTGGCCTAAAAATATTTCCTGACAAAGCTACACAAAGCGTGATGTCCAGCAATTTTATACTTTTTGAGTATGGTGCAGGAGCACAATGTACATTTACACGTCGGGTCATGACCTACTTAGGAACATCTTTTATGTCATCTACTTAAGAATCCCAAAATGGGTATTTTCAAAAAGAAAAATCAGATTTTGCATTTCTAAACACTTAAATCTAACCATTCAAAAATGAATGAGCTTTGGTCACATTAATTTTTGAAGGATATACGGAATAATTCTGAATTTTTATCGATTTTTTTTAGATGGGTTGCTTGACAAAGGATGGTACATCCCCGAAGTTTGGAGTTAGACAGCACTCTTGAGTAGGTGTGGCAATGGGCCAGCCCTAGTCCCTACAGGGCCGGCCCCGCACTGCAAGACAAGGCCGAGATGACCTGGCCTAGGCCAAATCCCAGCCATCCCCTCGTCAGAGCTGGGCCATACCAGGCTATGCCAAATGCAATAAAAGCAAAAAAATAATAAAAAAAGGCCATCATGTAGGTGTGTCAATGGACCTGGAAGCACCAAGTATACATGACACGGAATCGGGTATGGGTCCAACATTTGGAACTAGTGGGTCAGATCTGGGTTCGGTTGGACCCGACCTGTACCTGACCTCTATCCATAAAATAGTTGGAGATAGAGTACTTCATGCCCTATTTGTTCGGTGTATTAAGGGTCGTATACAATAAGAACTCGTAGTCATCTTTAGTTATTAAACGACAAATAAGACGTCTTGAAACTGATGGTAGGTGATTGTGACATTGTTGCGAATAATATGGATATATGATGGTAAAAAAAGACCTCCCAAAAAAAAAAGCTCATAGTGAGGGTGGCAATAGACCCGACCAGACCCAGGTAGACCCGAATACTATTCGAATCTGGGCCAGGGTCCAATCGGACCCAACCCGTTGCCACCCCTACCATCATGAGCTGACCTCAAGCCCGACCTAGCCTATCCTAAGCTCTTGCTCGCCTCTGGCCCAGCCCTCAAGCCATATTTTGGAGCCCAGTCCCTAGCCAACAGCCCATTGCCGGCCCTAACTCATATCGCTTTTACCCAACCAAGCACATGTATGATAATACATTGGCACAACAAAACTAAATAAACTATTTTGTACCACACAACTTTTATGCAACAAACAAACTTTCAGCACAATTTGTTGCACAACATAGGCACAACAAATAAACTTTTCCGCCGAAAATACCTTTCATGTGACAATAATTTTTTATTTTTTATTTAAAAAAAGACTGTTACCACCCTAAGTTTTTGCAAACCAACCATAGCCAACCACCTCTCTAAAAATAGATAACATAGCCCCACCCTTAAAATTATTATTATAATATTTGTCACAGCATTTAATTATCGATGTAGAAATTCGACCTAATAAAGCGAATGGACGACACGTTATACCCAATTTCAAAATCCACCAATTTTGGCCCCAACTGATCGACATATCGTCATCATAACGTAATCTTGACGCATCGTGTGCCACGTGTCCTTCAAGATCACATCCACGGTGTCTATACAAACCACGTGTCAAGCTCAAGTTCGTTATTTAAAGAATCCGTTATTATAGGCAGCGTTGCAATATATTATTCTTACGTGGCGGCTAGCGTATGAGGAGGTAGGATTGAATCGTACCTATATTTTCTCTTTCATTGACCAACCATAACAACGTGTATACTTTAAAAAAAAAAATGACAAGTATACACGTGTGAAAAGGTGTGAAGCGTATGGGTTGATACGTGAGAGTTGGCTCCTATGAAGAAGGTCAAATTACGGAATAGTCCCCATACATAAATAGTAAGATTGCTTACGGTTTGGCAGAGTCTCTGAACTTATTTTACATATAACCAAAAAAATGTATTTACTTTATTAAAAGTAATTTGTATAAAATCGCATATTTTTAGCTAGAAATTATTAATAAATAATATTATATATATTACAAGATATGCATTAAATAGCTAATAAAATAATCTATTTTAGATAATTAATTACCATCAAACAAAAATACTAAGTATATTTTAAATTTTTGCGGTTTGTATAGAGCCAAGGCTCTAAACATTCGTAGTAAAGCTCACCTTCAAATAGTACTGGAAATCTATGTGATAGCCTTAAGATATATTTTTATTTTTAATTATAAAATTTAAACCTTAAAAAATAGTATAGATAGAGTAGCTCTATGAAAATTTGAAAATCGACGATTCAAAAATGTGTTAAAAGATGCACAATTTTCAAACATTGAAATCTATTTTTTTCTCGTATCCATGCATTTTGATGTTGATCAATTTGAAGATATTTTTGCATCAAAATAACCTCTTCTAATGAATTTTTTGATGTGGGCTCTAATTTAATTGTTCCAGCCAATGCAAACTTAATGAGGGACAAAGGGGTCACTCGGTCTTTAACAAAAAAACCAGGGGCATTTTCTTCCTTAAAAAAAAAAAGCCAATGTAAAGCGAAGTTGGAGGCAAAAAAAGGGTTATTTCTAATCCTTAAAAAACGATCGAAAATTGAAAATTTGGAACTTTACCGGGTCAGTAACCAACTGATGACTCGGACTTCCGAAGCCCTGGAGACCAATTCACCGCCCCCCCTCTCTCTCTCTCTCTCCTTTTGCTTGGCTCTGCGTATTATGAGCACTTTCTCTCTCTTCCTTTCCATACACGCAACGCCGGCCGTCAGTTCCGACACGTGTCGTACCTGTGCCGGTCCTCACTGTATTCAGGCTCCCTATTTATATACACACAAAAACAAAACCCCTCTCATTTCGCTATAAAAGCTTTGGTTTTCTTCGTACACAGGCTTCTACGATTCCTCTCTCTCTAACTTTCTTCAAGTCCTTTGAAAGTTAAGGACAATTTCCTTCTTTCTCTCTCTAAAAGTAGTTTTCTTCGCAGGAGGGTTTTCATGTTAATGTTACCCTCTCATTCTTTTTATATCGGACACTTTGAATTCTCTCTCATAACTCTTTTTGAGCATTTGGGCATTGAGCTCTGCACTTTGTTGTCTTTTGGGTCACATATAAAATCCTCTCTCTAGAACTATCTCGGGCTTTGTTTAATCTCTGAAATTCTCAGAGTCCTCTCTCTCTCTAAAAGATTTTTTTGGGCTTTGTTCGTTCTCTGCAACTCACAATACCCTCTCTCACTTTCTAAAATTTCTTTCGGCGATTTGGGATATATTGATTCTCTCGGTACCTTATTTATATGAGTGAGAATGAGGGAAGAGAGGGGAACACTAACGCTCACAGAGTCGGGTAAAGCTCGAGGAAAGCTCTCAAACTTGATGCACTCAGACCCAAACATATCCTCCATGAACAACGAAGACGAATTCGCGAGAGACAGCAATGCATCGACGGCGAGCCCGAGTTATTACTCAGATCGAAACCGGATAAGCGCCGAAGGTTCGCCCTTTAACATGTCTCCATGGCACCAGACTTCACCTTATACTAAATCTCCATGGACTCAAGCTTCACCGGTGATACCATTCGCCGATGATAGTTTCCCAGCTAATGGCCTTATTGGTTCTTTAGTGAGAGAAGAAGGGCATATCTATTCATTGGCAGCAGCTGGTGAGTTGCTTTACACAGGCTCTGATAGTAAAAACATCAGGATCTGGAGAAACAGACAAGAATATGCAGGATTTAAATCGAATTCGGGCCTGGTTAAGGCCATTATAATCTCTGGTGAAAAGATATTTACCGGTCACCAGGATGGTAAAATTCGGGTTTGGCGAGCGTCGAGTCGAAACCCGAAATCCCATAAACGTATAGGGACCTTGCCTAAGCTTAAGGATTTCATTAAGTGCTCGCTCAAGCCGAGCAATTACGTCGAGGTGAGGCGGAACCGCAACTCTCTATGGATCCGACACTACGACGCGGTGTCTTGCCTCAGCCTAAACGAGGATCATGGCCTCTTATACAGTGGCTCATGGGACAAGACCCTAAAGGTGTGGCGAATCTCCGACTGCCGCTGCTTGGAGTCCATCAATGCTCACGATGACGCGGTGAATTCAGTGGTGGCCGGCTTCGACGGACTCGTTTTCACTGGCTCAGCCGACGGAACCGTGAAAGTGTGGAGACGCGAGCTCTCAGGCAAAGGGACACGGCACGTATTTTTACAGGCGCTGCTGAAGCAGGAGTGCGCAGTGACCGCTTTGGCCGTCAACCCGGCTGCCTCGGTGCTGTACTGCGGCTCATCGGACGGGCTCGTAAATTTCTGGGAGAGAGAAAAGAGGCTCTCTCATGGCGGTGTCTTGAGGGGACACAAGCAAGCGGTGCTATGCTTAGCAACCGCGGGTCCTCTTGTGCTCAGTGGTGGAGCTGATAAGGCCATATGTGTATGGAAGAGAGAAGGTGGCCAACACATGTGCCTCTCCATACTCAGCGGACACATGGGCCCGGTAAAATGCATAGCCATGGAGCCCGATAGAGAGGCCGGGTCCGCTGCATCCAACGGGAAATGGATCGTGTATAGTGGGAGCCTGGACAAATCCGTCAAGGTTTGGAAGGTGTCGGAGCAGGCGCACGAGTACCCAACACCTCGCGTGTCTGGGGGGTTTCACGACGAGACACCCGTGTCGGGTGAGTCACACGGGTTGATTGGGAGGGAGGAGGACGATGACTTTGACCCACGAAAGAGGGACGACGACCCGGAGTTTGACCCGCGGGGGCCCGTCGAGCCGCCCGTCGCGGACAGTTCGAATGGCCGTAAGCTCGAGACACGCTTGTCGAGGAATAAGCAGGGGACATTCGCGTCGCACGTGGTGCCTCTCCTCTCTCCTGGCCGAGTCAGCCAGAAGGTCAAGAAGCGGTTCGGGTGACCCTTCCTATCTTTTTTTCCAGCTCCATTCCACACCACCCTCACACCACGATTCTCGTGGCACCTGTAGCAACGAAATCGGAATCGCAAGGGAGAAGATAACTGGTGACCACCTTAACTGGGTTTGGCGCGTATCACAATTCGCACGTGCCTCGACTGTATACAGGAAGGACTGGAGGGGGGAGATGGGTCTTTTGATTTTTTTTTTGGGGTAATTGTTTCTTTGACATATCGCCAAGAGCTAATTTGTTTGATTAATTAATGGCTTGTAATTT